GGGCCCTGCGGGCCGGTCGCCACCCAGCTCTGAAGGGACAGACATCTTGGTCCTGGCAGCGCGGAGCGCGCACAGGGCTATAGTCAGGCAAATTAATCGCTGTCCCCGTGGCTTCACTGCTATTTTTGTCTTGGCGGTGGATTGTTCCCCTTGTCGCATTTTTACAGCACTAAGTCCTGGCTTCTGTTGAGCCACGAGGAAGTTGATTTTTCTCCTCGCTGAATCTGGGGCGACTTGTGCTTAATCCTCTCGGGTTGCAGGAGTGTCGAGCGGAAGGGTGAAAAACTGCCCCCGTCCTGTTCCTGGCTGTCGTCGGTAGCAAAACGTCCACCACACGCATGTTTTGATCTTTCTGCCCAGCCCTGGTGCTACTTCTGCTATCTCCTGTGAACGTGCGTGTCATACAGCTATCACGTAGTACCCCCAGGAATAAATCTGAACTAGCGGTCTGTGCAGGTCGCTGGAAATAGTGAAGGACTTCATTTGATTGGGCAGAGTGACCATGGAGAGGTCCGTAGAGGGGAGACAAAGGCACAGGGCAGAGTCCTCAAGGGCAGCTCTGAGGCTTCAAGTACATTTGGAAACAAGTGCACGGCCTAGTCCCTAGATGCTGTTCACACGACAGGCTCCTTCCTTCCCTGCTCTTCACCAAAACCACAACTGCAGGTACCACACACGGGGGGAGCAAGCCTTGTTCTGCCTCACTTTGGCCTCTGGTAAATAATCTGAGCAGCTTACACCAGTGTTTGTAGGTGCCCAAAGCAGAACACAGTTTCCCGGGCCAGTGGTCAATCGTGAACGCGCTGTGTGTGTCTTTTCCCCACCTAGCGAATACCGCGGCCTGGTGAAGCATGCTGGAGGCTGCCACTGCGGAGCTGTCCGCTTCGAGGTTTGGGCATCAGCAGATCTGCATGTCTTTGACTGCAAGTGAGTGCCTTTTTGTTCCCAGTACTGATGATTTCAGATGCTGATTCTGCAGCCGTACAGAGCACTGAGCACCAGAGCAGGGAGGGGGCTGAGGGGCAGCACGGTGGGGATGTCTCCTGGTCACTCTTTCCTCTGAGGAGCAACTAAGGCAACGGCAAAAACTGCAGGTGTCAGGGAGAGGACAAGGTGTTGGATACCTGCAGACAGAATTGGGGGTGGAGGTAGAGAAGAGCACGCTGTGACAACAGGGAGCCTTAGCCAAGAAGGGGAGAGCCTTCAGGTGATCCAGAAATGCACGGGCCTCCCGGGAACACAGAGGAAACTTGGAGACATTCCCTGTTTTTAAAATGCACCAGAATACTGCAGCCCCAATCCGGGGTCCGCTGAATCCGTGAGAACAGTGCCGCTGACTGCGGGTCCGCACGTACAGAGGGACCTGCTGGATGCAGAGAGAAACTTCAGAGCACATCTGTTTGGAAAGCCCTAATGAGTTTTATTACACAGCCTACAACCACGACAGGGGTAATCAGAAACCTCTGTGATCCTGGGAAAGCGGTGCATCTGTATCATTGTTCCCACAGCCACACAGTGGAGGCCATAATGCTTCCATACCTCCCAGGGATGTTGTGAAGCTAAATACATCCGTATTTGTGAAAATGAGGTTGAGATTTGGACCCAGAAGGTGCTAAACAAGCGCAAAGTATGATGCTGTGTTCAGTGTTAATAACATCTCGCACGCATACAGAACATCTCACCTGGAAGCATCTTACAGGCTTGCTATTACGTATAGGAGCTGCTCTCCCTCGTTAATAAAATGCAACCACATTTGGTGTAAAGCACAGCAGCTATGTATAACCATCAGGCCCTTGGCACGACAGAGTGAAGGACATCACATCCAGAAACCTGCAGAGGCTCTGAGGGGGGCAGAGTACAAAGCCCCCACAGCATTTAGCTACTATCCCCAGACTCGCATGAAAAGTGCCAAGGGGGCTTCAGCGATCCCAAGTGCAGTTTTCTGTTCCATCCAGATGAGGTGCCCTCAAGAACGCACGGCATGATCCTCTCCTGGCTTCCTCTTGCCAAAGCTCTGCTCACATGTCAGGCCTGACAGGCTTTTCTGCTTTCACCAGACTCCCCGTTTGTTCCATTCCAGCTCAGCTATTGTTGCAGAGCCCATGTCTCACGTCTCCCAATCAATTAATCGTGGTGCATTTGGATGAAGTTGGCAACCTCTAGTCTGAAAGGTTAGATGTATGTGTCCAGGCTGCAGCATGTCCTTGATGTGTCCGGAGAACTCACTGTATGTGTGGAGAGAAAGTGGTGCCTAGCCCTTGGTGCAGATAACCTTGCTTCCCTGTAGTACTATAGTCCAGGCCACACATGTGCACACCCAGTGCACACACCAGAGGTGCAGCTTGCCCACTTCTATCACCGCAACACTGATTTTGTCCCTAGAATCCCCCCTGCCATGTGCTCCGGGCTGGCTGTGAATACTGCCTGGCAGGTCGGGAACTGCCTGCTGAAAAGTTCTTTTCCCAACTTTTACAGCTGCAGCATTTGCACCAAGAAACAGAACAGACACTTCATTGTGCCAGCCTCCCGCTTCAAGCTGCTGCAGGTAGGGAAAGCGCACGAGGGGGTGGGCCTGAGAGATGCATGCAGTAGCCAGGTGGGCATCATAAACGTGCCTGCGGCTGGCTGGTGGGGAGTACGTGGAGTTGAGGACTCCACTGGGATGCCCGGAGCCTGGCAGGGAACACCTGGGAAGTTCCACGTGGGAAAAGGGAAGTTCCACGTGGGAAAAGGGAACATGCAAGGCAGGGAAAGACCGTGCTGTGGGCAAGGGCTGCTATCCTCTGGGGTGGTACAGGGCAGGGCTTCCACACTGTTCATGCTACTAACGAGCTAAGGGCTTGTGGCAAAGCTCTGGAAGACATATCGGTCTTGGCTCAGTGAGTCTTGGCAGAGGCGCCGGCAGCGTCACTCTGAAGTGTTCATTCTGCCTCCCTCTTAGGTCAGCGTTAGCCTATTTTACCCTGATGTTTTCAATCCTGATTGCAAGCTTAACTTCTAAATCTTTATGGTTACAAGAGCATTGCCTAGCTTGGCTTCCAGCTGTCTTCAGCTCCTCACAATTAGATTTCCCTGGATTTTCCATTGCAGTTGAACAGTTTGCCACACTGCAGCACGCTGCGGGCTCAGATGAACCCAGAAAGTTGCCCACAGCTTCTTGGAACAACAGAAGTTCAGTTGTGTTTGTTGTGGGGCATTTAAAAAACAGGCCTGCGCCAACAGAGTACCGTGCCGAAGTTAAAGCCTCGGTGCCTGTTGTACTGTGAGGGGAGGAGAGAGGAAAAGGAGCAACAGCAGCACAGGAACCCTGTAACTCAAACCAAGATATTTTTAGCCTGGCTGTAATGAAGCTTCTGTTCTGGGCCTGCCATTTTGCACTTCTTAGTTACAAGCCCAATGCCCGGAGGCAGTGGGGAGTGACCTGTTCCTGCTCTCCCGGCAAACTTTTGTCCTTTCTCTGTTTACTCAGGGTGCTGATAACATAACCAGGTATACCTTCAACACACACTGCGCCCAGCACACCTTCTGCAAGACCTGTGGTGTGCAGAGCTTTTACACTCCCCGCTCTAACCCAGATGGCTATGGTAGGTAAAGGAACAGGGAGGGAAACCTGGCAAACAGCTGGCAACAAAAATGAGTGTCCAGCTGGGCTCATGCCCCCTGGGACCACAAGCACTTTGTCCAAGGCAGCACAGTGCACCTGCGCTTGACAGCTGTAGCTGGACCAAGAGCTGTGCCAGCCCTGGAATGGGCCAGCTCCCCTTCTGGGCAGTTATTTCTCCTCTTTCTGTAGGAATTGCCCCGCACTGCTTGGATGAGGGCACTGTGCACAGCACCACCGTCGAGGAGATCAATGGCAAGGAGTGGGAGAAGGCAGTGAAGGAGCACAAGACTATCAGGAGCATGTCGAAACCGTGACGCCGCTTCAGGGCGCCAAGTGTGTGCATTGGCCCAGGTGGACCAGCGCGTGATGTTAGCTCAAGCTGTCCTGTGCTGAGCTCTGAGGGAAATAAATCTTTGCTTTTTTTCCTTAAGTAAATCCCCCAGTGCTGCCTGATTTACCCCTCCATTCTCAAAGCCCATTGCTTCTGGACCCATCCCAAAGCTGGCTCCTTGGTACTTTACCTACCAAAGTTCAAATCACACCGGCCAGAACAAGATTCTTGCTTCCATTGAAAGAGTCTAATGAAGACATGTCCTAATTGTGTTACTGTCTGGTTTATACCATTCTCCTACATACAACAGTCCCTTCTCTGGGGACACTGCTCTGTTACCCTGGTCTGCCTCCGGATTTACAGTTAAACCCCATTTATAGTGACCTGATAGGCTCTAGTACAACTATATACTTATGCCCATGCTTAAGTTAACTTCCCTGGCTGTGCTCTTGTGTAAATCCACGTGCTAAGGTGCTTTGTTGTCTAAGGAAAGACCTCGCCATGTTCTTAGGTACGTATTTAAGCATGAGATCAGGGCTTGAGCACACAGTTAAGCCCTAATTTTGGTTTAATAGCTGGTGCAGTATGGAGGGGAAAGCACAATGGGAGTGATGAGCATTATTACGACTGCCTCAGGGTGACAGTCCTCCTTTGCTCTCTGCTCCAACCTCTATGTAGACTAACACACTATACACAGATGGGCGAGAACTGGCTGACCCATCACTTACCCGCTGAACTCAAAGGCAGGAGGAGCCACACCAGGCTGCTGGAACGCCGATGTCTGCAAACGTACTCCATTGCAGAACTGCCTGTCGTGCTGCCACCCTGTAGGAATAAATACTAATGCTTCACCCCATGGGCTGCTGCTCACCCCACAGCCTGGCTGGGGGCTCAAGGTGGAAGGAACCAGCACATCCATCTGTAATTGCTGATGTTTTATTTTACAAGTTTGGGATCTTAAAGTTCAGGAAGTGGCAGGCTGCCTGCACGGGGGTCCTCCATGATCCAGTAGTCCTTTGTGGTCCAATATTGCAGCCTGAGGGCTGGCAGGATCAAATCCCAAGGGAGACTATGTGCCCTTGGACATGTCATTCCTGGTGTCTGCCCTGGGGAACAGGGCAGAAGGCAAGGATTGCAGGGTGACCCTGAGCTCTAGATCCTTGAAGAACACCAGTGCTGTAACCTGAGTGACTTCTGAACTCTCACTTGTAATTACCCTCAGACTGTTCCGTGTTTCCGATCCTATTGGGTTATTGCAGTGAGAACATTCAAGAGTTGTTAGAGCCCAAGTAAAGGAGCAGAAGGAAGTACCTACAGCATGCATCTGCAGTCAAGGGGTTCTGGGCACTGTCTGCTTCCCATAGCAGGCAGAAGCAGGCGCTTTCAGTAGTGCTTGACCTGGCAGACTGCCTCTCTCCTTTGGTCCCCTCTCTGGGATCTCAGCGCTCTGGGAGGCGTGTGCGATTCTGCACTGCGTCACAGAAGGCGGAGGGAATTGATCACCATATAGCGAGAGAATACCATGTAGATGTGGCGAAACCAGAGGAGCTGGCTGCGATGACACCGCATGGCCCGCTAGAAGGAGACAAAAAGGTGAGACGGCTTTGCCAGAAACTTCCATGCCCATTCAGAGGGCAGCACCCAGGCCTTTCTGGAAAGCTGCCTATTAGATTAACAGTGGGGCCCCCACCCCGGCAGGATTTGGACTGAACTGATCATTTAAAGTGGCTTCTCCTGATCTGCAGCTGCCAGGAGGACACTGATGGTGGTGTGTGTAACACGACAGTCAGGAAGCCTGGGCCTCTGGGGAGGACAGGCTCCAGGGACCAGAAGCCCAAGTAACTAATGGTGCTTTCAAGTCTCAGAGCAGTTTCTGTACCAGGAGTGTCCTGTTGCTGCCCTCATATAGGTGACAGCTCAGCACTGGGTACCAGGACTCTCACAGCAAAGCATCCCCAGGTTTGCCCCTAAGAGAGTACAACTTGCTAGGAGTGGCCATCGTCACCCACCTGGAGCTGCAGTTGGTGACTGCGGGCTCTAGCAAGCAGTGCCCTGTATTGAGCTGAGCAGCCTGCACGATCCCATCAAGATAGAGTTATTTCATGCAGAGAAAGGCAGACTCTGTAGACCACACCTCTGCATCCAATACCTGGGTGGCTACAAGCTGCGGTGCAAGACTCACGCCCTTTGGATTCCTAAAAGCCAATCTACTGAATCATCATAAATTGCCAAAATGCAACCTGAATAATCCGAGTGCGTGAGACCCTCTTGGGCAATTCCCTCACCATCATTATGGCACGATCTAACTGGTGGGGCAGGCACAAAGCATCTCACCTTGGCTTGCTCAGACTCCTCCTTGGTTAGTATGAAGAGAACATCCCGGGACAGCAGGCAGCTAATGGGCACGTCCAGCACGGAGATGTACTTCCGCAGGAGATTCACCGACTCCAGGATGAGGACTTGGCATCCTGAGCAAAGACAAAAAAGAGCAGGATGGTTACTAGTCTGCAGGATCGCCAGGCTGGGCTTTCAGATGCTACAGGGGTCCCTGTCATAGAAGGATCGGGCTGAGCAGACCCTCAGGGCATCACATCTAGTCCAGCTCCATCTAATCCATCCCAGACAGATGCTTTTCCAGCCTGCCCCTACGAACTTCCAATAATGGCAGTTCCCCATGCCAGAGGCAGGCACCCCACTTCCAAGCCTCATCGGCCTCTCCTTTCATGCCACCTGCTCTTCCACTCAAATGCTTCCTTACTTCTTAATTGTTCTACTAGGGCTGGATGTGGACTTACGAGCTGGCAACCTGCCTGCACAGACCCACCACCTAAAGGATTTCTGAGCTGCTCTGGTTCACTCCAGGCAGGGTGCACAGGAAGGCCTTCAATGCCAAAGCAGTGTCAGATAAAACCTGCATGAGCAGCCCTTGGTGTGCTGTCCCTCCTCCTTTGCCATTCTTCGTTAGGGCAGGGAAGGCTTTCCTGGTGTGGTCTGGATGGTGTCAACTGTTACCCCAGGCTGGCAATGGCACTGTCAGATGCTTACCAGGCAGGGGGTGCCTGGAACAGGTGGGGGAGATTTTGCTGATATTTCTAAGACTCCTGTGAATTTTCCTTTCACAACTAAATTGTCCTCACTACTGAACTCAGCTCAGCTGCTGGTCCCATGAAGGGAGCGGAGCTCCTTGGGACCTGCCCTGAGATTCTTCAGTGCTTCCAAATCTGGCGTTGCTGCCATCACGCTGATTGTTTCAGGTGTTTTTCCAAGCTCGGCAGAGCTGAGAGTGGAAAACCGGAGCAGGCCGTGGGGGCTGTGGCCAGCAGGTGGAGCTCTGGGATGGTGGAAAGCAGGCTGCAAGTAAACACCAAGCCCAAGATGAGCCCTAGCCCAGAAGCTGGGAACAGGTGGCCCTGCTGCCTTGAGCTCCTAGGCTCTCCAGGTTTCCCGGCTTTGGTGTCACCCTATGTGCCCAGGTAATTCATAGTGCAAGGGCAGCAATCCAGGGGAGCACCTGCCTGCTAACGGCAACTGAGCTAGTCCTTAAAGTGAGGCCGTGGCGAGTGGACGCCTGTGCCACCTAGCCCCCTGGAACCACCAGGTGTGAGCCGGGGACACCCTGCACCACTCCCTGGCCTATGCCTGGGGGACTCCTGCCCTGCAAGAGCCAAGCTGTGGGGAGCCGGGCTGCAGGCCAGGGGGCTCAAGGCATTCTCTGAGGCAACAAGCCCCAGGCCTCATTTCAGAGGCAGGTTTAGCCTTGGCTTGTTTCACCAGGCCAATGGCCATCGCTGTGTCAGTGCCCCGCTGCTGCTCTTCAGGCTGCTACTTGCATAGGGCTGGATCCTGCTCTGGTGGCTGCCACCGGGACAGGGCTGCTGTGACAGGCAGATGCAAACATCCCCTCCATCCGCTCCCCAAAAGGCCCATGCCTCCATTCCCAAAAAGGAATTATTCGGATGTGGTTCAGTGCCAAGACTTACCCAGCACAGGATCTGCAGCCCATCCCCAGGGGGTACCCACCAGCAGGCTGCGCACTTTTTGCAGGACAAAGGGGATACGGATGGAGAACTCGCTGATCACACGAGATCCTTCAGGCAGCCACAGCCCAGCAATCTACTTGCTGGGTAGTTCCAGCTGGCAGGGCTGGGGTCATGCCCCGCTGAGCTGAATAGCAGAGGAGAGCTCTGGAACTGGAATCTCCTGCCCTGGCACCCAGCATTTCCACCATATATATATTTTGTAATTATTATTATTATTATTTTTTTCCCCCCAAAAAAAAAAATCCAGCATTTCCACCAGGCACCTGTTGGTGTCTCAGCCCTGCGCGGGACAGGGAGAGGGGCTGGGAGCAACCGCAATGTGAGGTGCCTCTTGCTTTCCAGCCAACTGTTTATGAGCCTGGCAGAGCTGCCCAAGCTGTTCTTGCAAAGCTGGGAGCAGAGGAGGGTTTAGGGTTATGGGTGCTCTGTGGAGGAAACTGCCCTCCCCGCTTCCAGCCCATCTTTATCTAAGAAACCCCAGTTCCTGCAGCAAATGCCCTGACCTCCTCCCGCCCCAGCAGCCCACATGTTCTTTGAAAGTAAAAACTCTGCCAGGGAATGTGCTGCTGGTGAGAGGTGCCAGCTCACAGTCCTGATGACCAGGCTGGGGGCAGGCACAGCCAGGCAGCCACAGCTTGTGCCCTGCAGGGCCATGCAGGAGGCTTCTGTGCCAGCTAGGTGACTGGAGTCACCAGGCACTAGCAGCAGAGGCTGCTCCGCCTGCGAGCAGTGGGTGCCAGGAAGCAGGTAGGGGCTGGAGAGTCCCTCTGGAGAGGGGAAGGGCTGGGAAAACATGCTTCCTGCTCCCAGCTGGGGTCAGAGATAGGCAACAACCACCCAGTGCTATTGAGGGATCTGCTCATAACCTCTGTGTGGGGGGCAGACTGCTGCGCCTGTGAACCCGATGCAAGTGTAGAGGAGCTGCTGGCAGTTGGAATAGCAGTGCAGGGCCTGAAGGGAGCCAGTTGGGCTTTCTCCTTCCAACAAGCACATGCAAGTGGAGCTGCTGATGCTGCTCCTGCTAGGTGCCTGTGCCTGTACCTGGGCTCTTCCAGGAGGAAGCC